TTCGATATGAATATGTCTTATATGTACCGTACTTGTTAAGATATGGCCGATCATGGTTCTCCACAGCTTCCTCGCCTTTGTAGCACTGGGTAATGTTTATTTCGTTGGCGTCCCTCACAGTCTTTGCTCTGCCATCCATTTACATGAACTTGTGAATTAATTGAATTTTTTTACTGTATCAGTGTATGTGCTTGTGTGTGTGTAGGTGTGTGTTTGGATATTTGTGATGTTTGTTTCTTTAACGGCATATCGACTCCTTAAGGGTCATTTAATGCTGAAATTTAATTTTCTTGGTAGCTTGAGTATTTTTTCTTCTTTTTTTTTGTAATTTTTTAAAAAAATCTATTGCTTGTATTTTTTTTTTTACTATGAAAAAGTAATTTTCATACTTCAGTTTTTTGACCCCAGTTTAGGGCTTCTTTTTTGCACATAGCTAGGACCCTAACAGGTGGTACCACCCCTGGTCGGGATGGCCATGGGAGCAACAGTAATCCAGAGGTGGTCCAACACTCTTCAGAACCTTCCGATCAGAGGCCTTGATGTCGGATGTAGTTTATTGTCATAACAAAGACGGGTGTGTATTTGGGTGGAAGGAAAACATCCAGCTCACTTCGTTGCGTTCACTTTCTCGCCACACCCGTCTATATGGGATAAATAGCATGGTAGACAGGGCTTTCTAGCCTTGGTTGGCAACCAGTCTAGGAGAAGGAGAACTAACGCTAAGCATAGCGCTAACAAATCCACCCCATAAAAATCTACTTGATGCGGAAAATACAGTAACATCTCTTAGCATGTTGTGGGAAGCTGTGATCCTATACCCTAAAGAGGAATTTAAAGAGAGAGAGAGAGAGAGAGAGAGAGAGAGAGAGAGAGAGAGAGAGAGAGAGATTAAACTTCAAAGGCAAAACGCATCGATTTGTATAAAAACATAATTCCGTACATCTATGGTCTGCAATACATTCGGTTGCTACTGTCCGATTTCTTCGAAATTCTTTGTTTCGGAAACTTGCTCTTCACCCTTTCGTACTCAGTTGTCTGATATGAGAAAGGGATATATAAATCTTTTTATATCTATTTTTTTTTTAATCATTTCGTCCCAAGCAAGGCGGAAATGCCCCTATTACGCAGAGGGATCACAGGGAGTGAAAGTGAGAGAAAAGACTGTGTATAGGGACGATTAACGAAAGGATAACAAATGAACGGGGTTTCAAAGAAGATAGAAGATGGTGATTGACGTTGCATTTAAATTTCCGATGATCGTAATTGTCAGGGAAGTAAGAAAACGGAAGGGAATTCCACAGGTTGGAAGTGCGAGAAAAGAAACTGTTGGGATAGAAGTGGCAGTTGCATTTAGATATTTCAAGAGTAAATGTGTGAGACCTAGACGCCAATCTAGTAACATAGTTACATTCATGTATTGGGGGCACAAGAAAAAAAGCTAATCACACGAATGTTCGAAACGTAAGATAGATTCTGGCGAAAAAATTATCTAGGCCGACACAGTGAACCAACTTTAGCAGTTGACCTAGCAAATGTTTCAATATAATCTTTCAACTTAATGTCATCGGAAGATGTTGGCCCGAGAAGGCGTAATGAGTCTCTCTCTTGTAGGTTAGCATCAGCCATACTGATGGAAATCAGAAAGTGTTCTCTCAGACGAGAAAGAGATGTTTCGTTTTAGAGACGTTAAGATTAATAAGTCATTTCTTGCACCAGTTAACAACAAACCGTAGGTAATTTTTTTTTAGATCAGTTGGCAATTTAACCTTATCGAACAGATTAGGCTTACTATTAAGACAGGAGTAAATCGTTGCATCATCAACATAGATACTGAGTTGAGAAGTGATGACATCAGGAAGGTCATTGACGAAAAATAGGATCGACATAGGTCCAAGAATACGGCCGGGGGCGTGGACGTACATTAAGACAAAAAAAAAAAACTAGAAGAGTGGGCGTTCAAGATAATTTTCATTTTGTGAAGTAATAAGAAAGGTTGGATCAGCTCAAAAATTCCTCCATTCGAGATAACCAAAGCAGTGTCGCGATCTCTCTACCGTTCTTATCTAAAGGTTGATAGGTTCTTTAATTCCCGTAAACAAATTTGAAAAGAACAAGTTCTTCCTATGTATGTATGTATGCATGTATGTATGTATCTATCTGTCGCTCTATCTATCTATCTATGGGCACCTCGAGGCGGTATAATGTTTAGCAAGCTTGGCTCGCTAGAACAATTACGACTGAGTAGTGAGTTCGATCCTCACTAGGTGCCCCCTAATTTCCGCCTTGTGCCACATCTAAGCTACACTTGGAAAATCGCTATCTATCTATCTATCTATCTATATATCTATGGGCACCTCGAGGCGGTGTAATGATTAGCAAGCTTGTCTCGCTAGAACAATTACGACTGAGTAGTGAGTACGATCCTCACTGGATGCCCCCTAATTTCGGCCTTGTGCCACATCTAAGCTACACTTGGAAAATCGCTATCTATCTATCTATCTATCGGCACATCGAGGCGGTGTAATGGTTAACAAGCTTGTCTCGCTAGAACAATTACGACTGAGTAGTGAGTACGATCCTCACTGGATCCCCCCTAATTTCGGCCTTGTGCCACATCTAAGCTACACTTAGAAAATCGCTATCTATCTATCTATCTATCTATCTATCTATGGGCACCTCGAGGCGGTGTAATGATTAGCAAGCTTGGCTCGCTAGAACAATTACGACTGAGTAGTGAGTTCGATCCTCACTGGATGCCCCCTAATTTCGGCCTTGTGCCATATCTAAGCTACACTTGGAAAATCGCTATCTATCTATCTATCTATCTATCTATCTATCTATCTATCTATCTATCTATGCCCTCCTGACAAAGCGTAGAATTAAATGCTTACAGACTAAAGTGTAAACTACCAATATACACCTCCAGTCAAAAAAAACCTTCCCTCTCAGAAGTGCCTAGAATACTCCGACTAAATACACTGCAAACCGGTAAAACCCTACCAAATGAGGCCACCTACCATGTAAATGCTTATACGCTCAAATGTAAACAATTAATAAGTATCTGGAATCGAAACAAGTAAATGCTTAGGGGTTAAACTATGAACGAGTATTATTTACATATTCTCGAAGCAAGTAATTGCATACAGATTCAAATTTAAACGACCAATAACCATTCCTTAACCAAATAAATGCTTACATATTAAAATATAAACGACCAATAACTACGTATAACAAAACCAAGTAATGACTGAAAGACTCAAAGAGAAACATAAATAAATAAATCTATCTATCTATCTATCTATCTATCTATCTATCTATCTATCTATGTGTGTATTTAATGCGACATAGTTGATACTAGCAGACGGTCCGCTTGACTTAAAATATTTTTGCCCTTCATTGCCTTTAAAGGAGTGCCCTTTGCCGTGCTGATGTTGTTACATGCCTTACTTCTTGCCTATCTCAAACTGCGAAATCTTTCTAAGCTCTATACTAAACATTAAATCTGTTACGAAAAAGAACTAAACAAAATGAACACAAAACTATCAGCTTTAAAAAATGACACGTAACTGGAAAAAATGAATGAAAAAAGAATGTTAACAACAAATACTTTTTCACACCCAACCCAGTTCTGCGGAATCAGAATCAACGTTGAGTTTAAGCAAGCGAATAAGCCAATTGGAGTAAAGTGCCATGCAGATTTAAATTTTTCCCACTTGTGACGAATGCAGCTATCGATTTTTTTGCATGCTAGAATGCTAGTTAACATTCGTGTCAGTCAGCTGTTGGCTCTCACGCTGGCCAATAGAATCTTCCTGCCTATTCGTGGCAGCCAGCTATAAGCTCTCACTGTGGCCATTAGAAAATGACCGCAAACTACATGGAAACTGCCGTAGAAGCATGAAAAATCGATTATTTCTACTATAGATGGGAGTTGGGAAATGCAAATTCGGTATTGGCCTTGGCGCTAACTTAGAGCATGTGCATGTAAATTTTGGTGCAAATCCGTCGAAAATTGCGGCCGTAAATTCGTCACACACACACACACACACACACACACACACACACACACATCGTCCCTTTTATAGATAGAGATCCCTATTTGAGTAGATGATTCGTTTATTTATTTTTTCGATTGATTAATTTCTTTTTGACGGCTTATCAACTTTTTGCAGGTTATTTAAAGCCAAAAAAATATTTTTTAGATTGTAAGAAAATTTCTTTTGGATATAATTATGGTGTACTGAAAAAAATTCTGACTAATTAACCCATAGCTGGAGGAGAGAAGAAGTTGATTCATACCTTTCTCAAGGGTATTTATCGTAAGTGAATATAACGAACCCGACTGGAATTGAAACTCGGCTTTTTGAGTTCCGATCCGTTATCCATTAAACCGCCAGAACGTCCAAGCTTACAGCACCTGAAATTCCCAAGTGATCACCCATATAGGTACTGAACATGCTCGACGTTGCTTAACTATTGTCCACAAAGAGTGTACAGATCCACTGGACTGAACGACCGACATTTCTTTATGAATTAAGTACAAAAACCTTTTACTTATTTAGATGCAGTTGTAAAACCTACGATTTAACGGTGACAAGTTTCACTTGTCCTCGGAGAAATAAAGAACTGTGTCCACTAACTCACCAACTGTAAATTTTTTTCATTATGTTCTAACTAGGTACGCCACAATCTTTTCTATATTATGTGTTTACCTGTCGAATTGGATATCCGTTATGCCCGGAGTAAAGCTTTTCATTGAAAACGAGTTAAATTCACAAAGCCGTTCTTATAATACCAAACTTTTTGGAGGTAACAATGATTTAATGTTAATGATTCATCTTACTAATTAACCCATAGCTGGAGAGAGAAGAGGTGCTTTCAGACTTTTCCCAAGCGTGTTTGCGCGTAAGCGAATATAATGAACCCAACTGAATTGAAACTCGGCTCTCCGAGTTCCGACTTCCGAACCGTTATCAATTACACTACTTACATATCCAAGCTTACAGTGTGTGGTATTCTCAAGCGGTCACCCATCTAAATACTGACCAGGCTCAACGTTGCTTAACTTCGGTGATCGTACGAGAACGGTGTTTCAACATGATATGGCCGTAAGCCATTTATTTTATTTAACACTAAAAAAAGAAACAGCCTCTACTCAAATATGGATATAAGCTAACATACGTTTCAAGTAGCAAAAAAAAAATTTATATATATCTTTAAATTTTTCTTGAAGGAAAAAGAATTCGTAACGCGTGGGTGGTGAAAATGTCATACCCAATCAAAACAAAAATTCATACCCAATTTAAACAAAAACAAAAAAGGTAAAATTGTGTCAAGTTTCTCACCAACCTGTTTGTTTTCTCATCATTTGTTTTAGAACTGAGTTTTTTTTTTTTTTTTTTAAAAAGATAAATTCATGTTGGAAATAAATACCTTCACGTTCTTCGTTATATCGTTTTTTTCTCTAAATTTGGTAATAAAAAAAAATCAGATTTTATAAGGCTAGGAATCTCATCTTTGCTCTCTTTTGATGATCAGACAGTTACCTTGGACTTCTAGAAATATTTGTAGCGCTCGTCAGTACATAATATAAGCGTATTTTTTTTTTCATTTTTAAAATCGGTTTTTATTATTGCTCTCTTTTTTGTCCGTGAACACAGACAGAAAAAAATGATTCGAAAGTTTTACGTAAAAGTTTTTTAATATCAGTTTTAAAATATTTTTGCAACACTGATACATATTTTCTGAATAATTTTATAAAAATGCTTAAAAAAAAAACAAACTTTGCGCTTATAAATGAAAGCATCCAATATCTGAAATTGGCCTTGTGATTTTCAATTTAGCAGCTCGCCTCAATATGTTGACAAAAGAAAATTATTAAAAGCTTTATCGTTTAAGAATCATATCATAAAAGATTAATAAGTTGGGGTGGTTGAAAAATTTTAAGATTTTACTACACACACACTAACACATACACACACATATATATATATATATATTTGTGTGTCTGTGTGTGTGTGTATAAATGCTAAAACACTATTTTAGAAAAAATTGAAAAGCTGGAAATTATCTTCGAACTACAGTTAAAATCATTCTAAACAATTACAAAGGAAGAAGAAAAAAAGCTTTCTATGAACAATTTCACTTAATGCCATTCTGATAAAATAGTTCGACTTTAAGTTTAAGAAAGAAGTTTGAAGACGGAAATATTAAAAGCAACTTTTAAGGAAACATTGAACAGAATTGAAATTACAGCACTTTACTTTCAATCGCTATTTTCCATTACTTTTCCTGTGAGTTTTGTAAACAGAATTACTCTCCTCTGAAACTTACACACACGAAAACAAAGTTGTTTGGGTAAAAATAAATAAATGCAAAAATAAAAAAAAAAATGGTATAGATTTGTTAAAGAGATTTACGTTTTAAGGAAAAAGGCTTCTCGCCAGAATTCTAGCTGATGAATTAGGTCATCGCAATATTAGACAAACTCCGGGAAATATCGAAGCAAAAGGAGCGTGTTCTATTATTTTATATTTTGGGGGGAGGTACGGCTTTACGTGAACGACGTTGAATCTTGAACGTTTCTCGATATTTAACATTATCGCACCACTTAAATATAACCGTGATGTGTCGGCACTTAGAGATAAAACACAAAGAAAACAAGAAAGAAAAATGTTATTAAGATATTTTTAATAATAATAAAAAAAAAATTATAGATAGTTTTATCATCTAAAATATTTTGAAAAAATTAGTTGTAACTTAATTTATGATTTAAAAAACACGTTTGATTAAATGTTTGAAGAGAAAGTGATGTTACTTGAACGCTAATGGAACTCTCTAATGTTTAAGTACTGTATGGCATACACAATAATAAATATTTTAAAGTATGCGACATAACAGGGATGTTGATGGGGTAAAGACTTAGCTTATTTAGTAGCTTTTCTATTATGCAAACAACAATATTGCTAGAGATTATCCGGGTTCAAATATTTTATTTGCTGATCGAGAAATTGTTGCGGTGAAACCCTCATAGTACTTCTGTCAGATAAAAAAATTCTGTACGTCGTTCGTTTACATGAGGGCATCACAATGCATCATTCCTTAAATTTTGTATTGTCAGTAAGATCAAAACGAAAAATGCTATTGTGTAAAAATGATTATTTTCGGAACAGAGTTTGACATCAGAACATATGATGAAATAATAAGACAAATATAAGCTTTATTTAACCTAGAGATTAAGAAACCTAGAGAATCTGCAAGAGAAGTTAATAGAGGAAAGCGAGAAAAACTGCACAATGACAGAAAGTATGCTCATCAGCAAGATCGATTAATTCGTTTTCTACGGTTTATCAACCCATAGCAGGTTATTTAAAGCAAGAAAATATTTTTAGATTGTAAGAATTATTTTTTATAATGGTTTAGTGATAAAACTTTTACTAATAAACCCATAGCTGGGGAAATTCGGTTCTCTGATTAACAATTCTGAGCCGTTATCTATTACACCACTCGTACATCCAAGATTATAACACCTGGTATTCTTAAGAGGTTACCCATCTAGTTACTGACTAGGCTCGCCGTTTCTTAACTTCGGTGATCGTACGGCAACCGATGTTTCAACGTGATGTGGCCGTAAGCCTTAATCAGCAAGAGAAATAACCCAAGAGCATAGTATACAGACTGGAGATATGAACAACAGGCAGGCGCAGAAGTTTAAGTATCTTGGAAGCGTTTTAACAGAGGATGGTAAATGCATCACCGTGAACACGCATTGGACTAGCGAAAGAAGCACTGCAAAAGCTAAGCGAGGTGCTGAGAAATGGGAAAAAAAGTCGTTAGAAACAAGGAAAAGGGTGCACGATTGGTATATGGTTTAAGAAGAAGATCGAATCAAGCATAGAAAAGACAAAAAACGTCACACCTAGACCCGAAGTTACATCGGAATAACGAAATAAGCAATGTATTATGAGAAAGAAAAATTTTACTTTGAAAACAAAGAAAAGAGTGTTGAACTGTTATTTCATATCTACTCTTTGGCTGTCAATAATAAACAATTTGCTCTCAGTGAGGATCGAATTGACGTTCTCTTGATCCTGGGAAATATTCATTTAGGTCAGTGTACTTTACTGTAGAGGGATCCAGATCCCAAACTGTATACCATGCCTGGCTATTTATAAAATTTTCTCTAAACAGACTTTCGACGCTGTACACCAGACATCGTCAAATAATGACGTAATAATGTCGTTTTTTACGTTAAAAATACGTCAAGAAACGACATTTTACGTCATTATTTTTGCACCAACCTGATATTAATGTCCTGCATAAAAAAAATCAAAGATGTCTACTCAGATTTACATACCAAGTAAAATAAAATTCAAAGTTATTTTCTCAGAACAATAATTTTTACAATAACTTGTTTCTCTTTTGTGATTATATATGATTTATACAACACATGTCAAATTGATTGATTCGTTTTCTGTCGCTTATTAACAGCATGGCCCGGCGTTGCCCGTGCTTGATTCAAAAATCGTACGACTCATACAGCAATCGCTATCACTTGACTTAAAATATTTTTGCCAAGTGGCATTTACTTGACTCTCACGGAGTCAGGATGTGACACAAGGTCGTTTAACGTGGGAGACCCGAGCGTTTCCACTCAAGGGCTACTGGTCCAAAACTGGTCATAGCATGTTAATGCTGGTCAGAGCTTAGTCAAAGCTGGTCATGGCTTGTCTTAGCTAGTGCAGGCCGAAGCCGGTCATAACTAGTCGTAGCCGTGATCGAATCTCAGCCAACCACCCCGAACGAGACTCTGCCCTTCGGCGGAGTTTCGTTCGGGTTCCTCTCCGCCCGAGAGCAAAGAGTTAGACTGTTACTTAGCAAATATTTTTGCCAAGTTGCTTGGTGGAAGAAATCGGCTGTGTTTATGTCGGCTCCGGTTAGCATCGTAGTCGGTTTGGCAATATCTTTTGGTTGATGACTAAAAATTAACTTCCGCATTTTGACTGTACACATGGGTTTCATTTGGACACCATGTGTATTTAAAGTAGTTTCCGGTTATTATTTTCAGTTAGGAGGACTTGTGTATGTTTATGTTTCATTTGTTTTACTTTTTGTGTATCATTCTCTGAAAGAAAAAACGCTGAGTCACCGGAAGTTAACGGCATTCGTTCTGTTTTCAGACGTTTGAGTAGCCGACAGTAACTTTCAACCGGGTGCGATACCGTTACTCGTGCTTTCAAATTGATTTTGTGAAAAAAGAATTGTGTTTTCCCAATTTTTGGTGCTGTCAGAACCACCGCCGGGTAATTTTACGTCGTCCTGTGGAGTTTTGTTGAAATCGGTTGAAAAATGTAGGAAATATGATCCCATATATAAACGAACTGACACACACACACAATCTTCTTTTTATAATAAGTAAGATTGCATGTTATTTAAATCAAGAAAATATATTTAGATTCTAAAAATATTATTGGGACGTGGGAGATAATAACAGTTCAGTGATAAGTCTACATAATTAACCCAAAGATAGAGGAGGGAAGAGGTGGATTCTCACCGTTTCCAAGGGTATTGGCGCGTAAGTGAATAAAACGAACCCAACGGGAATTGAAACTCGACTCTCCGATTAACAATTCCCAGACATTATCAGTTATACCAACCGCACATCGAAGCTAATATATATATATATATATATATATATATATATATATATATATATATATATATATATATATATATATATATATATATATATATATATATATATATATTAAATTAAAAATAGCAATCCATTTCCTAAATATAAAATGTCTTTGTTTACGTTAGGATACAATGCTGTTAGCCACGTCAGATCTAATGCCGTTTCCCCATAGGGGAAGCAGCTTCGAATCCTGCCGGGGAATGCATATATTTCTGATAATATTTCTCAAATATTCAGACCGGTAGATGTAGTTGGATAAAAATATTGTTTAATTAAGAAAGCAGAGCTTCGACTCGAACATAAATATCCAAATAAATGAAAAATAACACACACACACACACACACACACACACACACATATATATATATATATATATATATATATATATATATGCAATTTTTGTATATATTATTTATATACAGTATATGCTCGGTACTTATTGGAAAGGGCTAAATATCAGTGATAGAGCTAACATATTTAGTTTTTGACCCTGGGTTTTGATGATCGCAAATAGCGTGAAACCCAGGTACCATTATAACAATTTATTTCACCAGAGTCCTTTTAAAAGGACGCCGGATCATCAGATAGCATTTCCAACAACGAAATGAAACGAAAAATGAGATTAAAATTGATGGGTAGTGTAAGTTTTTGTAATTTAACAGGGGGTGTGAGAGGGATAGTTAAAGAGACAAGGTAGAGTATAGGGAGGGGTTAATTTCATATCTCTCTCAAGTGTACTTTATAGTGGGGTAGGAGGAGTGACCAGACCTTGACCTATTTAGATGGTTAACTTAACGGAAATGATATATAGAAATGGGAGGGGAGTAGGGAGAAAAGAAAAAGGAAGAATGAAAAAGAAAGAGGAGACAGAAAACAGTAATACAGATATATACAAATGAGTGTTACAGCAAGAGAGAGAGAGGGAGGGAAGTAAATCGAAAGAGACTGTATATATATATATATATATATATATATATATATATATATATATATTTATATATATATTACTTTCATTAATTTAGTATACATGGTCTATTTATTATATAAATTACTATATTTAGAAAATCTGTTTATTTTAAATATGACAACATCTTGTAATATAAGTCGATTGTGTATAAGAAATGAATCATTATTATTAGTAAAATATATATATATATATTATATATATATATATATATATATATATATATATAACAGATTTTATTCTTATATAGTATATTTTATGACTTAATAAATAGATATATAAATATATATTTAAATTAATGAATATAAATTAAAAAAAAATCTCAGAATTGTTTCCCAACTCTGTTCTTGTTGGGCAAGTGAAATCAGTTGAATTTATTGAAATGCATCATATCTTCTTTTTTTTTTTTTTCTAAAGCATATCACTCCAAGCAAGGCGTGAGTACCACTAGCACGCAAGGGGTTACAGGGAGTGATAGTAAGTGTAGAGAGGAGTGTTTGAGAAAACGATAAAGAGAAGGACAGAGATCAAGGTCAAGGTATCATAAGATATCGATTGGAAGCAAGCGATAGAAAGGGAGATCCACTGACGGGAGGTTCGGGATAAGAAACTGTTGTAAAAGAAGAGCTGGTTACATTTAGTCATTTCGACAGTGAAAGGGTGGGACCGATATGCCAAGAGAGTAACACGAAAATAGTCATGCATTTAACCAGAAAATACTCGTAAAAAAATACAGAGGGCAGCCACATGACGTCTGTGAGACAGTGACTGTAGACGGGATGCCAGATCAGGACCAATCACGTTGCATATTCGTCTCTGGATTTTGTCTAGGACCTCGATATGGACAGCGGGAGCACCAGACCATATATGGCAGCAGTATTCCAAGCAAGGACGAATGGTTGATTTGTAGATTTGAAGAATGGACTCAGGCGAGAAAAACCTGGCGCGACACAGAAAACCAACTTTCCTTGCGGTAGATGAAGCTATAGATTCAAGGTAGTTGTTCTACTTCAGGTCGGGGGACAACGTGAGACCAAGTAGGCGCAGAGAGGCGCTCCCGTGGAGGCCCGGTGGAGTAGTGGATAGCGGCACAGATTGAGGAATCGGAGAGCCACGTTCGAATTCCACTCGAATCCATTACATTCACTTACGTGACAATAACCTTGGGAAAGGTATTAATACTCTTCTTCCTACACCTATGGGTAAATAGCAGGACAGACTGTGTTCTATAGCCTTGGATGGCAACTATATATATATATATATATATATATATATATATATATATATATATAAATATATATATATATATTCAGTTGATGTTTGTTTTATAAAGCGCTTTAAATGTGTAGTATATAATTAGTTTTATTTTTTTACAGGGGTCAATGGGGGATATATTAGTACTGATGAGTTTTTGAACGATTTTTCATCTTGCTTGGAGCTAGAGTGTATTTGATTGCGATCTGTTTAATTTTATTTGAGGAAATATTATGTTCTTTTTAATTTAAGTTAATATTTCTAACAGCTAGTTTAATTTGTTCATAAACAAAGCAATTAGAACTGTAAAAAATGTTTTATACCGATACTAAGAAATCGATACGCGAATATGAGAGGATTAAATATAAATAGATATACATAATATGTCTAGACTGTTCAATCAAACACGCGTGAATGAAGATATGCGGCGTAAACACACACACACATATATATATATATATATATATATATGTGTGTGTGTATGTGTGTGTGTGTGTGTATTTAGGTAGCATATCATAATTCAAGCATGCTTGATTGAACAATCTAGACATATTATGTCTACTTTTATTTTGATTATCTCATATTTGCTTATCAGTTTCTTAGTATTTATATATATATATATATATATATATATATATATATATATATATATATATATCCTCTGACATATATATATATATATATATATATATATATATATATATATATGTATGTATA